GGGGGGGGGGGGCAGAGAGAGACTCTCAAGCAGGCTCTGTACAGTCGGCACTGAGCCTGATGAGAGGCTTAAACTCACTGTGAGATGATGACCTGAGTGGAAATCAAGAGTTGAGAGTTTAACCAACTGAGCCACCCAGGCATCCCCATACAAGCATTTTTATACTAACAATTTTAGTAAACTAATAAAATGAAATAGGAAGAGTTTGTCACATTTAAGCCTTCCTCCTTTTTATTACCTTATCCATGGTCTGGAATCTTTAGCTTATTTGCCCTGGGGAAATATGTTGGAGGGTGCATTTAATTGGGAATTTAGCTAAATTTTTCTGGCAAATTTTCCTGATGAATTAGAGAGGGTTGAGAGGATTTAAGTCAGTGTGGTTTAATGCATCCATTCAGCATTTTTAATGGATGATTTATTTATTTATTTACTTGTATTTGTATTTTTATTGAGGAGTAATTGATATAACGCTGTATTTCAGGGATACACTGTAATGATTCGGTATTTGTATGCATTATAAAATGATCACCTTAGTAAGTCTGGTTCAAATATGTCACCATACATAAAAAAGTTCTTTTCCTTGTGATGAGAACTTTCAAGATCTGCTTTCCTACCTATTTTCATTTTTTTTTTTTTTAAAGAAAGCAGTTTTGTTTTTTTTTTTCTTTTTTTCAACGTTTATTTATTTTTGGGACAGAGAGAGACAGAGCATGAACGGGGGAGGGGCAGAGAGAGAGGGAGACACAGAATCGAAACAGGCTCCAGGCTCTAAGCCATCAGCCCAGAGCCTGATGCGGGGCTCGAACTCACGGACCGCGAGATCGTGACCTGGCTGAAGTCAGATGCTTAACCGACTGCGCCACCTAGGCGCCCCGCCTACCTATTTTCAAATATGCAGTACAGTATTATTAACTACAGTCACCATGCTGTACATTATATCACCATGACTTATTTTGTGGTAGGGTCCCCTCCCTAAGAGAAAAAACGCAAAAAACCTGAAGGCAACCTGGCTATACACCTATGTGACAACATCCATCATGACCTTGTAACACGAGA